TAATACCAAATGGCCTAACCTGAAAGCATATATACATATTTGCATATAACAACAACTAATGAAAAGGAGGCCATGAATTGAAAGAGAGCAAGGAAGACTGTATGGGAGGGTTTGAAGGGAGGAAAGGAAAGGATTTAATATTGTAATTATATTATACTATCCAAAGTTGAAAACCTAATCACTTAAAATGTTAATTATTTATTTTATAAAAATTAAAATGGTGGTAGTTCAGAGCTTTGATGCAGCTTCCATCTTTAACACACAAGACGTCAACTCCAGGGTTACAATACCAACTCCATTATTTGTTTTTGACTTTGCTTCTGAAGAAAGGAGAAATCCAGGTAAGACACACACACCCCAGTTCGCACACACCCCAGTTCATATTCCATTTGCCTGGTCCTACTCTAACTCACAAAGGAAATACCCAGGTTATCCATGCATTATTCAAGATTTAGGACTTCCATTACAAAAGTTAGGGAGAACTGGTGTTTTTGGATTGATAGCTATCTCTACTACCAGTAAGCTGAAATGAAAATAATTTTAGCCATGCTTAGATATTATTTTTTTAACCAGCACAAAAACTTAAACAAGCCTTTCATAGCACAGCTAATTTCATTGTGTCTTTCTTCATCAGTGGCCTGCATAGTCTATTCACACCTCTTTTTAAAAATTTAGTATACATGTGTGTATACTAATGAATACATAAAAACAATCTATTCAGTCCATAGAGTGTCACTTTCACTGTATATTTCCAGGGATGACCACTTGGTGTTGGATAATTAATTGTGATCTTACTGCTTTTAGCATTTTTTTAGTTGCCTAGAATTCTTTATCTAGGATTGAGGCATTGAGATTTCTTCTGTCCATGTTAGCCTGTCTCTAGGCACCATCCTTATTCAGCTCATATTTAGGCATTCCTGTTGGTGAGGCTTTATGGTTATAGCGTCTAACATTTGTAGGAGTCACAATCTCAGAGCAAACTCCCGCTTCCTCTGGCCCTTACAGGTCCCCCCCCCCTTTAATGTACTGATTTCTGGGCCTTAGGAGCAAGCATTGTTTTGTCATTGTATCAGTTGGGAATGGCCTCAAGAATTCTTAATTTTGATCAGTCATAGTTTTTTTGTTGCAAAGAGAAATTTCCTTGTTGTGGGTGAGAATAACGCTTACTACCTACCATGTAGTTAGGTATTTGGTGTTTCACTAAGTGCTGGTTTTGTTACCCTCGATTTAACTCTCTCTGTGTAGTAATCAAGGTATGCATTCTCAGTTAGGGTTATCATGCCATGCTGATCATGGTCATACAGAATATTTATTTCATCCTTTCTCCTTCCCATGATTCTAAAAAATAATAGGATATCTAGGTAAAGCAGTTACTTTTCTTTATCAGAATGATGCTGTTGACGTGAAGAGAAAAACCCACTGTTTCTCTGAAACTCCCCCTGCAGATTTACCCCTCCTTTCTGACTTTCCAGCTTCTTTGTATGATTATGATGCACAGAAGCTCCTGCACTCTATTTGTACCCATTTACTCTGTTTACTTGTAGACTTTCCGTTTTTATTCACAGTCACTTCTGTGCTAAGAGGAAAAATGTGGTCAGTTGGTGTCAATATTATTGATTTTGCAGTAAACTCCCACTACTAAAATCCTGCTTCTAATGCTATGAACAGCTTCTTGGAGGCCAAAATCCTTTTTATATAAAGGGAATTTAAACATTTGAGAAGTTTATTTCTGAGGCTTCTTTTTTCCATTGAATATTTTTGACCTGTGTATATCTAACCAAAAGTATAGTTACACACAGAAAAGTGTCTAAAAATAAAGTGTAATAGGAGCTGTGATGTAATCTTTACTAAGTGAAGGTTCACTATAGCTTATTTTCCTAAGGAATGATCGGTGCCTTTTCAGTGTAAGAGGACTGTGATAATAGCCATATGACCAAAGTTCTAAATATTTCTCTGAATTCAGAGTTATGTGTTAATATAAATTTTACAAGTTTATAGGAAGATGTGCATTTATTTCATACCTAAACGTAGAAGCTTGGAACTAAAGTAGAACATGCTGTTTCCCAGAGCAGATATTGCAAAGGGTTCAGAAGAGACACCATCAGATACAGATTACAAACTGTTAAAAGCTAATTAGCACCAAAAGGGCAATGGTAACCAGTTCTGATTTACTGCAGTGATCTAAAGGCCGGTGAAAGCAGTAGAATTTGACACAGTTGCTTTCTATTAGATTAATGCACTTATTTCTAAAATGGATTTTCAAAAACAATCTCATTTTGACAGACTTATTGAGCATACATATTCACACACAGAAATCTGGAATTCACCTGTCCCTATGGTCCCTGGAAATCAGATTTAGTGACAGTTGTGACAATCTAGAACAGCAAAGAAAAAAAAAAACTTCATGATGTGCTTGAAATAATAAAGAAATGAGAAAGAAAAAATTTAGCACATTTTTTTCTGGGAAATTTTAAGTCTCACATATTCATATGCTATTAGGCAGGATGGTCATTTAGCGTAGCACTCACCAAGGTCATCCATCATAAGTTCTCTAGAAATCTCATTCATAAATTCAAAGAGTAGGTGAGGTTGATTTACTGATGTATTTTAATTAACTTTATGCTCAAAATAGTGCTTCAAAATATAGCACACAGAAAGCATGCTGTGAGGTTTCTTTGTATGCAGAGTTTTCTAGACATGAGGTCTGCTTCATATTTGGAGTAGATTTGGACTTGGATGAGGACATTTAGTTGCTCACAGGGCTGATGGCTGCCATTTTGGAAAGCATAGTTATAGAACAGGAATTATCCTTTTCTTTTTCTTTCTTGTATTTTGGATATCTACAAGAGCTCCTGAGCAATCATCTGGTGACTGGCTGGAGAAGTAAAGGCCCTGTCCTCATTTGGTCTGGAGGGGCTTGGTGCTGTGGCTAATTCTCCTGGGTAGCTCTTGAGTCAGTTGTTGAGCCCAGGGAAGGGCTATGGTGTGTGCCACCTCCCCTTTCCGAGAGCACATGCGACTGTCCTAGCAGTATTAGTTTCCTTAGTTCATGAAGAAGTAATCATCAGTTTTCCTGAAAAGTGTAAAGGCATGGCTTTTTTAAATAAGTGAGTTTTTTCCTTCCAATTTTCTGTAGAAAAGACATGAAAAAAAAAAAAACCTCATTCATTTAGTTTTTATAATGTTCTTAACCATTTGAAACATATTCCCTTGTATCAAAATCTTTATAGGAAGGATAATAATTGACTATACTTTGATATTTGTCTGTATTTTTAAATGTAGAAAAATAACATTTCAAAACAGATTAAAGGACATCAAGTCTGCAATCTGTTTGAACTGCATTATTGTTTGAATATGGGGATTATCTAAACTGAGGTTAGATTTTAACAATAAAAGCTTTCTGTGAAATGAATCCGGCTTAGCACTTTGTGGCTAAATGAATTAGTCTCTAAACTTTTATCTGAATCTATGGAGCTCGGATATAAATTGCAAAGATCACAGCTATGGGGAGAAGACCTATACCACAAAGGCCTTTCTGCATAGATTATGAATATCATAACTCAATAATTTTTCAAAACTATAGTTATAATTGGACCCAATGGGGGTCTGTTTCTTTGATGAGATCACAGTAACTGTGACTTTACACTGGAAAATGTCACTACTGTGAAGGTTTATCACCTGTAGAGTTGGTCTTTCCTCTGATGCTGTGTTCATTTCTCATTAGCATTATTCAAAGTTTAGTTGTTAATTAGGTTCATATTTCAATTACAATCATCATCTACAAGAGTAGTCAGGGCTACTTGAACAGAGAGTAAAAACATTCCCCTTTGCACATCTGTAGAGGATAAAGGTATTATTTTATTACCTGGTTGTTTACACAGATAATATGTTGTACTAAGGTAGCAATCCAGTTAGAATTGGTTTCTTAGTTTTTATTTGTAGAAGAAAATAGACTTGTGATGCAATGTCACATTTTTCTTAAAACAGTGAAAAGGAAGGCATATTGAAGTTTTCAAGGGAACAGATTATAGTTTTCTATTTTGATTGAAAGTAGTTACTGAAGTGAATAAAAAGTTAACATTTTGAGTGTGAGCTCATTTAAAACTCAGTCCAGGAGCCCTTCATAGTTGCATTTCTACAAGTGCATAGCACTCTAAATTACAAGACAATAGGCATGAAATATTGTAAGAATTCAATAACTTGTAAAAATTTGCAGAGTCCCAGATAAAATTTTTCTGTTTTTCAAATGTTACTCTGCTGTTCCAGTCGCTGATCGGTGTGGCAGTGATTCAGAACTGCAGACTGGCGCGTGGTAATGAGAAACAGCGGATACCGAAGTTAGAGCACAGCTTAACTCAGAGTAGCGCGTGATGAAGGCAAACTAGTTTCTATTTTTTTGCCTAATGAAATGAGACTATGAATGTTTTTCTTAGGGGGATGTGATAAATTTAAAGGAGACAGTGAATAACACTTGCTTTACATAATTTTCCATTCATGATATGGCCTCTATAACTTTACTATTATCTCTTTTATTCTGTTACTGATAAAAAGAGAAAATTACTTATGCAAATGATGCTCCCAAAAAGGAAATAAAATTATAAATGTTCTTGAAGGGCTCATAACAAATAACAATGCACAACAGAAATGAACACTCCTGAACCAGCTTTATCTCCAAACAAGTAGACACACGTTATAATTGCTAAAAATCTGCAGAAAAGTGCCTCACAAGCAGTTTACTGTAAATAATTAAAGCTTACTTATGTCAAGAGGCCTTGGGAAAAAGAGAGCATAAACCGATTTGCATTAGCACATCGCTATCCTCGCCCTCTCGTTTCAATTAGCAGAGCAGCAGGTGCTCGGTGCAGCTAAGAAGATAAGCTATCTGGAGGAGGATGATTTTGGCTGACCTGCAGGCATTGAGCTTTGCCTGCTGATTGGGTTCGTACCTCGCTGTACCAATTTCTGAGGTGTTAATTTAACTGTTCCTCTCTGCCATGCAGGTCTCGGCCTTGAAAAATAAGCTGAAGAAGCAGTCCACAGCTACGGGAGATGGAGTGGCTCGGGCCTTTCTGAGGGCGCAGGCGGCTTTGTTTGGATCCTACAGAGATGCTCTAAGATACAAGCCTGTAAGCATTCGTTTCGACACTGTTCTGTTTTTCCAAGGCCCCTAGAATGAGACAAGAAAAAGGAAACATCTTAATATTACAGCCGAAGGGAGTATTATGGTTGCCTTTTAAAACTCGGCAAAATGTGCTTCAAAGCTTATTATTGCTCTAATTCATCAACTGTTTTTAGCTCCCTTCATTATCGTTAGCTAATATTCCCCACTATCTTTGGTCTGTCACCTATTTAAAGTTCTAGAAGTGGAATATTTACTTTTGAGTGACTTGATAAATTATGTTCAAGCAGTTAAAATCACTTACCTGACCTTCTTCAAATCACCAGGAAACTCACCTGACAGTAGAACTTAATTAATAGCTCAGTTAGGGCAGGTACAAAGTGGAATGTAAGGAAATTAGCACTTTAAAACTTAGCTATATTTGGATAGTTACTGTATTCCTGGTTCATCACACATTCTGAAATGGGCTTGACTGTTTAGCATATCTTGTCCCTTCTTGCCATTTATTCTAATTCCCTAAAGTTATTGAATTATCTCTTAAAATTTGGCTGGTCCAAAATGGTGCAAGTACAGTATGTTTGTTTCTGTCTGCAGTATTCATTAAAACTGTTAGGCTGGTTTTATAAAACATTTCTACAAGAGCATTCCATGACTAGATGACTAAGATAATAATGTGTTTTTACTTTTGTACTTTGTGTGCATGTATACAGGCGTGCATGTGCCACAGCATGTGTGTGGCAGTCAGAGGACACCTTCAAAGTGCTATTTCTTTCCTTCTGCGGTATGAGCCCTGCAGATTTAGCCTCAGGTTCTTGGGGTTGGTGGCAAGGATCTGTCCCTGGCCCAGATGTGTATATGATAAGGGTTAAATACATTGGATTAATAAGAAGTAATACGTAGGCCTGCCATTGATAGAATTATACCTTCGTCTGTAGAAAGGAAGAATTTTTATATGCCCCTGGTCTGTCTTACACATTTGATGTACAGACCTATTGAATATTATTAGCAAATAACACATATGAATGTGGAATATACTCTCTAACCTGTCTTCTGACTTAGTGATTCCCATAGTGTAGCTCTTGAGCATTTCAAAATTTTTTGAGCTTTTGGAAGGAGTTTTTTTTTTTAATTTTTTTATTATTATTAATTACACTTTATCGGAAGGAGTTTTTAATTGGATAAATATATATATATTTATATTTATCCAATTAAATAATTAAATTATACCAGGCATATATATATATACACCTCCTGTATTTTCTTTTCAGGTCTATTTTTTATTAAAAGAAAAGGTCTATTTTGCAGTCTGGGAGGCTTAAGTGTATGGAAAGGGTGAAGGTGGACCTGTTGCTTTGGGGAGTCTGGTGTGACAGTCCCAGATGACAGGGATCATGTTGGGGGATAAAATTCCACATGTAATGACTGGGACATGAAGAGGAGAATAGGAAGAAGGGGATAGGATCTTTATGTCCTAATCATTAGCATGTCTCAAATGAACAGAAAACCTTCTACTAGGCTTCCACATCTTCTCAGTCTTCATTGTTTTCATGGACTAAAGTCTATGCCTTTAAAATGTAGGTATTGGGGGAGACTTATCTCAATCATAGCACATTGTAGTCTTTCTGAAACATATGTACATTAGAAGGTATTATAGAATTTTAAATATTGTACCTCATACATAATTTATATGAAGGTCTTTATCTCATTCTTTGAAAGAATGGAACCATCTAAATACACTTAAGTACATTATTCTTTAACTAACTCAACTCAAAGAAAGGTGAGCTTGAAGGACAAAATTATTTTTTAGTTAAGAGATTTACTGAAATCAGTTTTTGAAATAGGAAGGAAGGAAGGAAGCTAAACATACCATTTCCCTTGATATTTTTGCTGTGTTTAAATACTTCTTTTTATAAACTAAAATTCAGTTTTTAAATTTGTGGGAGACTTCAAATGTGAAGAAATGAGTAAGTTGAAGTAAAGGATTATGCTTTTAAATGATTCAGGTTGTCATCATGTTGGGTGCTGGGTAAGATAGTGTATCCCAGTAGGGCACAGTGGCACAATCCTGTAATCCCAGCACTCAGGAAGGCATAGGCAGGCAGATCTCTATGAGTTTAAGGCTAGCCTGGTCTACAAAGTGAGTTCAGGACAGCCAAGGCTACACAGAGAAATCCTGTCTAAAAACAAACAAATATAATGTATCTCAACACTAACATGAATTGCCTTTGATATGTGAGTTCAGCATTTATTCATTAGTGTTTCACTCAACAATAGGGGCATAACGATTTCTGTGCCTCAGAATCCAAACATCTCAAAAGCCTTATTTCCAGTGCCTGTTGAAATATATGAATTTATCATAAAGTATTTTTCCTATTAATAAGTCACACTTTACTTGAATTTATTTATTTCACTTACAAAAATTTCCATGATATTACTTCCTCCTTTTTTTTCTACTCTGATATATTTTGGGATCCAGGGAGAGTATTATTATTTACATGCCTTTATGATTCCCTGCCAATCATTGAATGAAAACTTAACTTTTAAATAATCATCAGTACAGATATATAAATTTTCTTTGTTTTCTCTTCATGAGGAGTAACTTTTACTATTTATTAAATGTTTATTAAGAAAATTTCTTTTTCTTATTATAAATAAAATACATTCTATTCCTGTAACAAAACACTGAGACAAAAACAACTTATAAAAGAAATTGTTTAATTGGTCTTATGGTTTCAAAGGATTAGAGTCCATGATGGTAGAACAAAGAGCCAGCTGAGAGCCCACATCTTGATCCTTAACCATGACTCTGAGAGAGAAGTGGGGATTACATTAGTCTTTTAACATCTCAAGGCCTTTTCCCCAGTTACACAGCTCCTACAACAGGGCCACACTTCTTAATCCTTCCAAAACACTTCTACCAACTAGGGACCAAACATTCAAATATGTGGTTGTTTGGTGCCATTCCCAATCAAACCACCACATTCCACTTCCTGGCCTTCTAGGCTCGTGGCCATATCATAATACAAAATACATTTAGGTCAGCTTTAAAAATCTCCATAGCTTTTCACAGACTCAACACAATTTAAAAGTCCAAAGTCACTTTTGACACTCAAGAGAATCCCTTAACTTTAACCCACCATAAAACAACATGTCATGTTGTATACTTTTAACATACAGTAGCACAGAATATATTTCACCATTCCAAAAGGAATAAATCTGGGCATATGAGGAAATACCGGACCAATGCAAGACTGAAACCTAATAATAAAAATCCAAATCCTGTTGTTTCATTCCTGATGTCAAAGGATTTACATGGTTCCACTCTTCCAGCTTTGCTGCCTGAAACATACTTTCTCTCTCCTGATGGTTCCACTTCTTCTATGCATCTTTCACTGACAGATATTGCATGGCCCTGGCACCTGTAATATCTTAGGTTTTCCAGCACAAACCAGGAATCTCATAGCTTCATGCAGTGGCCTCTTAGGGCCTGCATTCAGGGACTCCCCTGCCATGTGCCTGGCATCAGTGGCTCTTCTTAACCATGAACAAAGATTCCATAATACCATTACTCATATATCTTTCATGATTCTTAAATATAAATTTATATATTTATTCACTTTACATCATGAACATAGACCCTGCCCTCCTATCCTCCTAGTCTCATCCTCCGACCCTCTTCTCCCTTTCCCACTCCCCTTCTCAGAAAAGGGGAGCCCACCGTATCCACCCACCCCAACACATCAAAGTCACATCAGCCTGAGTGCATCCTCTTCCACTGTGACCAGGAAAGGTAGCCCCACTAGGTAGAAGTGATCCAAAAGCAGGCAAGACCCAGCAATGCCACTTCTGGGCATATACACAAAAGATGCTCCATCATACCCCAAGAGCATTTACTTATCTAGGTTCCTAGTAGCTTTATTCATAATAGCCAGGAAACTAGAAACAACCTACTTGTCCGTCAACAGACAAATGGATAAACTGTGGTACATTTATACAGTGAAATACTACTCAGCTATTAAAAACATGGGCATCATGAAATTTGCATGCACATGGATGGAACTAGAGAGATCATCCTGAGTGAGGTAACCCAGACCCAGAAAGACCACACGGTATGTACTTACTTATAAGTGGATATTAGCCATATAACCATGCTATAATCCATAGACACAAAGAAGATAAGTAATAAAAAGGGTCCAAAGGAGGTTGCTTGACTCTTTCATGATTCTAAAGCCTAGAACCATGTGATGGACACTGTCAAGGTTGACTACCAACATGAGGTGAACCCTGGCACCCTTGAGTCACATCCATACAGCTTTGTTTTGTCAGATTTTTGTTTGTTTGTTTCTTTTTTAGAGCAGAACATTTCTTTGGCTTTTTCTTTTCACAAACTGGAAACTTAGCCGGGTGGGTAGGGTATTGTCCTGAGTTTACCATTTTCTATTCTCCAATTCAGATCAGGCTACTCATTAGTCTTCTCAGTCTTTTCCACACAAACTTTGGCGCCAACATTAAATTTTCTGCTGCTTATTTTCTCTTTAAGCTGTATATTTTCTGTTGTTGTTTGTTGTTGTTTTTCTCCACTTGTTCTTTTTCATTGTAGCCCCATGTAAATGTAATTAGTAATAGCTGTCACAAACAGACACTGAGGTTTCAAAAGACTCATGCAATTCCTCCTCCTGCCCATGCCTATTCCTGCCCCCCCCCCCCCCCGCCATGCACCTTATGTTGTAGATCAAGATGATTCAGTATTAGGCTGTTTTGAAATCACCACTATCAAGAAAGTGAGTTCATTACTTTCAGTTTAATCACAAGTAAATTCCTAGGACAAAGGCAGAAAGCAGACACATTGTTTGCCAAAATATCATGTCTCTAGTGCAGCTGATATTGTTCCCCTCTGAAACCTCTTGAGCTGAGACTCCATAATCCATATTGTTATTGTCCACAGTGTTACTGTCTTTCTGTCTCCTACTAGGATGTTCTATTATAGTATTCAACCACTTTCCTAGTACAGGTCCCATAGTCTTCTACTTTACTCCAAAAACAGCATTGTCAGGCCTGTCATGTTCCCCCTCCCCGGTCCCAATTTCTGTCTTAGTTTTTATAGTTGTAACAAAAACACCATGACCAAGGAAACTTATAAAAGAAACAATTTAATTTTGCTTACAGTTTCAGAGGGTTAGAGTCCCTGATGGTAGAATGAGGAATAGATGAGAGGTCATAACTTGATCCACAACCATAAGATACAGAGAGAGTATACTAGGAATTACATGATTCTTTTGAAATCTCAAAGCCCACCCTAGTGACACACCTCCCCCAACAAGGTCATACATCCCAATCTTTCCCAAGCAGTTCAACCAACAGGAGAACAAGTATTCAAATATATGAGCCTCTGGGACCACTCACCTTCAAACCACCACAGATATTATCTTCGTATATTAGCCAATATGTAATTCACTGGAAGTGTTTGCTTGTTTGTTTGTTTGTTTGTTTTTTAATTTTAATCATAGATCATTAACTTGTATCCCAACCATAGTCCCCCCTTTCCCTCCCAATCCCACCCTCCCTTCCTCATCTCCTCCTTGCCCCATTCCAAGTCCACTGATAGGGGAGGTCCTCCTCCCCTTCCATCTGACCCTAGCTTATCAGGCATCTTCAGGACTGGCTGTAATGTCCTTGTCTGTGGCCTAGCAAGGCTGCTTCTCCCTTGGGGGGAGGGTAAGCTCAATGAGTCAGTCCTTGAGTTCATGTCAGACATAATCCTTGTCCCCCTTACTAGAAACCCACTTGGGTACTGAGCTACCATGGGCTATATCCGAGCAGGGGTTGTAGGTTATATCCATGCATGGACCTTGGTTGGAGAAACAGTCTCATAGAAGACACCTGTGCCCTGATATATTTGGTCCTTGTGGGGCTCCTGTCCCCTCTAGGTCATACTAACTCCCCCTTCTTTCATATGATTTCCTGCACTCTGCTGAAGGTTTAGTTATGAGTCTCAGCATCTGCTTTGATACACTGCTAGGTAGAGTCTTTCAGAGGCCCTCTGCGGTAGGCTCCTGTCCTGTTAGTTGTTTTCTCCTACTTCCAATGTCGATCCCCTTTGTCTTCCTAGATGAGAATTGATCATCTTACCCCAGGTCCTCTTTCTTGTTTATCTTCTTTAGGTGTACAGATTTTAGTATGTTTATCCTATCTTATAGGTCTACTACCCACTTATAAGTGAGTATATACTGTGTGTGTCTTTTTGCTCCTGGGATACTTCACTCAGGATGATCTTTTTTAGATCCCACCATTTGCCTGAAAATTTCATGATTTCCTTGTTTTTAATTGCTGAGTAGTATTCCATTGTGTAAAAGTACCACAATTTCTGTATCCATTCCTCCATTGAGGGGCATCTGGGTAGTTTCTAGGTTCTGGCAATTACGAATAAAGCTGCTACAAACATGGTTGAGCAAATGTCCTTGTTGTGTATTTGAGCATCTTTTGCCTAGGAGTGGTATAGCTGGATCTTGAGGAAGCAGTATTCCTAATTGTCTGAGAAAGCACCAGATTGATTTCCAAAGTGGTTGTACAAGTTTACATTCCCACCAGCAATGGAGGAGGGTTCCCTTTTCTCCACAACCTCTCCAGCATGTGTAGTCACTTGAGTTTTTGATCTTAGCCATTCTGTTGGGTGTAAGGTGAAATCTCAGGGTCGTTTTCATTTGCATCTCTCTGCTGACTAAGGATGTTGAGCATCTCTTTAAGTGTTTCTCTGCGATTCTGTATTCTTCTACAGAGAATTCTGTTTAGCTTTATACCCCATTTTTTAATTGGATTGCTTGAATTATTGCCTTTAAACTTCTTTAGTTCTTTATATATACCGGATATCAGCCCTTGTCAGATGTAGGTCTGGTAAAGATCTTTTCCCAATCTGTAGGCTGTTGTTTTGTTCTGACAACAGTGTCCTTTGCTTTACAGAAGCTTTTCAGTTTCATGAGGTCCCGTTTATTGATTGTTGCTCTTAGAGCCTGTGCTGATGGTGTTCTGTTCTGCTTGTTTGTTTTTATTTTAGGACTTATTTGGTCATTTATATGTTTGACCTATATCTTTGATATATTTTTCTAGACATAAAATAGAGAAGGACCAAGTATAGAAGTTGTCAAAACTTCATGATCTTATTTCTTTTCAGAAATATGTTTGGGTGTCCTCTGTTGTCTAGCATACAGTTGGAAAGGAAGAACTGTCTGACGGACTTTAACTATGAATTCGCTGAGTAGGCATTGCTTTTAAAAGTTTTGTGATTGAAGCCGTGTAGGGTGATATACTTCTGTAATCCCAGACCTACAGAGGCTAGAAGCAGGAAGATCATCAATAGTTTGAGGCTAGTCTTATCTACACAAAGTTGCAGGCTAACAGCCAGGACTACATAGCAAGACACTGTCTCAGATGTTTAGGAATGTTTATTTGTAGCCTAGTTAACTTTGTCAACTTGATCCAATTAAGGAACAGCTAGTGAGACATACTTTTTAGTGTGTTTGTGGAAGCATTTCCTGAAGGAATTCACTGAGAGGAAGAACCATCTTGAAAATGGTTAGCATACTAAGTTGACACCCATTTTTGCTGCCAGGATAACATATATCTGGGAACCTATGAGCCACTGGGGCAGTGATCTCTGAGTACCTGCATGACTGAACCTGGCAAAACAATTCCCTAGGTGTCTCTGGGCAAGATACCCCTGTAGCAGCTTTCTGTGTTCAGGCCTTCCTCTTTCAGACACTCTCATTTCATTTTTATTTTTATTTTTTATTTTTATTTTTTGACACTCTCATTTTAAACGAAAGATTTTAAAATGAGTTCGGATTCTTTGATGGCTAAAGTATTGTCATCAAGTACCCTTTGCTTTGGTTCCAGATATGCAAAGTTCTCAAAGAATACATTTTTAAGAAGTTGTACTAAATAATAATTATGAACCTTCAGCTTGATTCATTTTTTTCGTTCGTTTGTTCACTTATTCAGTATTTGTTCTATTTCCGGTGTAAGTGCTTTGATTCTGGCTCTATTAATGTGACTACAGTAGATTCTGTCTTTAACAGGATTGCCTTGTTTGCTTTTGTTTGTTTCATCTTGAGTAGTAAATGTGGCCCACTTCATTTACCCTAAGTGTATTTGTGTAAACCCATCCAGGTTGTGAAATGAATGATTCAAAAATCCTGTATAGCTCTTTCTGTCAAAAATAACAATAAAGCATATGATATAATTTTTGTGATGGGTCATTGTCCTGAGAATGTTGGTGGGTGACACCACTTGATAGATTATTTTAGCCTCCCCTCACTGTTTGCATTATCTCTCTTTCCTAGCAAGGCTGCCCAAGAAGACTTTATGTTGAAGGAAATCTAAACACATGCTCTCTTCTAGCACTAGTCATGAGCAAAGGCTGAGCACTTCAAATGTGGCAAACTACGGGCAAATTCATAGACACTGAATCTTTGATTCCATCTAATTTTTATGTTTCATATACTGCCTGCATGAGACTGTAGCTGATTTATTTGAAAAGGTAGTTGGATAATGTCATTAATTCCATGAGAAATGACAGCAATTGAATCACATTGTTATTAGTTCTTACTTTTGTACATGCTAGGGCCAATTTTTAGTATTTTACTTATAGATTCCTATAATCAGAGTACTGAGTCTCTTTAACACTTATGTTGTAATTGATAGTTTTGAGAGTTCAAGCATGCTTTTTAACTGTTTACTTCAACACAAGAATTGCCACAAAATTCATTCTATTGAATGAATTGTCATGAGTCTTCACTTAAATTTTGAACATAAAATACAATCATTGACCTGTACATATGTCAAATAAAGACATTGGACTGTTGAAGTGCTGGAGAGGAATTAGGAGGAATCATCCAGCAACGGACGATTCTGTGCTATCTGAGCGTAACTGGAGCAAGCGTCATCTGTAGGGTGTAAAGTCCTTGTTGACGACACAGTAACATCTAGTAGAGGACCCATCAGGCACTTCAGAGATGTGACTGCTAACATGAAGGCAGTTGCCAAGCAGAACCTAACCCATAATATTGAGCCAGGACTGTGTTTTCAGTCATGAAGAGAAGACAATTATAAAAACTCCTATTATTTGAATACCAACCAGTGAATGTGTATAATATGAGGGACAAAAAGAGGCAGCCAGCTTTACAGCAGGAACGTTGTGGAGCTGGAGAGGTGGTTCAACTGTTAGGAGCACCAGCTGCTCTTGCAGAGGGCCCAGTGTCGATTCCTAGCACCCACGTGATAGTTCACAACCACCTGACACTCCAGTACAGAGTATCTCATGCTCTCTTCTGACTTCCAAAGGCATCAAGCATACATACATGCAGGCAAAACACTCACACATAACAAAAAAGATGAATAAATATGATGCGAATAAAAGAATGTTATCCAATCAGCAAGAAAAGTAATTGTAGACATTTTCAAGTTTTTTAAATATACACGTTAGTTTTATTCTTAAAAACTCAAGCTAACAGTGTCAAATCTTTGCATTTAAGCAACTTGCTCTTTTCTGAGTGAAATTGAGTGATTTTCAGAGCATCAGCAGTTCCTGAGAGGAGGCCTGTTGCACAGGATTTTCAGTTCAGGATTAATCCTACTAGGTTGGGATATATGTAGGATTGGTTGGTTGATTTTTTTTTTTTTAATCTCATGTCCCCTTGTGACTCTCAATGTGTCTCCTGAAGAAACTGCTTCTCTCTGACTGACCCTTTATTGATGTCCCTGAAAATCTTTGTGTCTATCTAGGGTGAGCCCATCACCTTCTGTGAGGAGAGCTTTGTAAAGCCCCGCTCCAGTGTAATGAAGCAGTTCCTGGAGACTGCAGTTAACCTGCAGCTGTTTAAACAGGTAAGACTGACACTAAACATATTGGGTCTGTACAGAGAACACTGACATTCAACACATTTCTGCCACCCTAAAACTACATCCAGGTTAAAAATCAATGTCCTAAAAAAAGTTATTTCTGAATCAGGAAGTTCTGTTTATGTGGTAAACAGAAGAATGCCTTGTATTCCTGTGGTAGAGCTATATGCTGATGACATTCTAAGGAATGTTGCCAGCCGAGCCAGGGGAGGAGGTGGAGGGATTGGAGGCATGAGAGGGGATGTCCCTCTCCAGGGCGGAGCACACCAATTTGTAGTCTAGTATGAAAGGTCATCCCTAAAATATATATATGAGAGTAATACTGTATAGACCAGGTACGCTATATTTAGGAGTGTGTGTGTGTTTGTGTGTGTGTATAACAACAATTAGTGAAAAAAGAAGCTATTAATTTTTTTATTTTTATTAATTATAGTTTATTCCCTTTGTATCCTACCTGTAGCTCCCTCCCTCCTCCCCTCCCAATCCCACCCTCCTTCCCTCTTCTCCACCCATGCTCCTCCCCCAGTCTACTGATAGGGGAGGTCTTCCTTCCCTTCCTTCTGATCCTAGTCTATCAGGTCTCATCAGGACTGACTGCATTGTCTTCCTCTGTGGCCTGGCAAGGCTGTACCCCCCTGAGGGGGGAGGTGATCAAAGAGCCAGCCACTGAGTTCATGTCAGAGACAGTCCCTGTTTCCCTTCTAGGGAAACCAACTTGGACACTGAGCTGCCATGGGCTACATCTGTGCAGAGGTTCTAGGTTTTCTCCATGAATGATCCTTGGTTGGAGTATCAGTCTCAGAAAAGAGGCTATGAGTTTTAAAGACACCAAAGAGGGCCATATGGGAGGTTGTGGAGGGAGGAAAGGGAAGAGAGAAATGATGTAATTATATAAAAATCACAAAAATGAAAAGCTTCTGTAAAGCAAAGGATACTGTTGTCAGAAAAAAACAACAGCCTACAGATTGGGAAAGGATCTTTACCAACCCTTTATCTGAGGGAGGGCTAATATCCAGAATATATAAAGAACTTAGGTTAAACATCAACACACCAAGGAATCCAATTAAAAAATGGGGTACAGAGCTAAACAGGGAATTCTGAGGAATATCGAATGGCAGAGAAACACTTAAAGAAATGTTCAACATCCTTAGCCATTAGGGAGATGCAAATCAAAACAACCCCAAGATTTTACTTTACACCCTTGAGAATGGCTAAGATCAAAAACTCAAGTGACAACATATGCTGGAGAGGTTGTGGAGAATTGGGAACCCTCCTCCACTGCTGGTGGGAATGTAAACTTGTACAGCCACTTTATCAATGTGGCGGTTTATCAGACAGTTAGGAATAGCGCTTCCTCAAGATACAGCTATACCACTCCTAGGCATATATCCAAAAGATGCTCAAATACACAACAAGGACTTTCCTCAACCATGTTTGTAGCAGCTTTATTCGTAATAGCCAGAATCTGGAAACAACCCAGATGTCTCTCAAAGGAGGAATAGATACAGAAATTGTGGTACATTTACACAATGCAATAGTACTCAGCAATTAAAAACAAGGAAATCATGAAATTTTCAGGCAAATGGTGGGAACTAAAAATGATCATCTTGAGTGAGGTATCCCAGAAGGAGAAAGACATACGGTATATGCTCACTCATAAGTGGCTATTAGCCATATAATATAGGATAAACATACTAAAATCTATACTCCTAAAGAAGCTAAACAATAAGGAAGACCCTCGGGAAGATGATCAATCCTCATTCAGAAGGGCAAATGCAATAGACGTTGGAAGCAGAAGACAGAGAATAGGATAGGAGCCTACCACAGAGGGCCTCTGAAAGACTCTACTGATCAAGGTATCCACGCAGATGCTGAGACTCTTAGTCAAAAAGACTCTACTGATCAAGGTATCCACGCAGATGCTGAGACTCTTAGTCAAACTTTGAGCCGAGGGCATGGAATTTTATGAAAGAAGGCGGAGATAGAAAGACCTGGAGGAAACGGGAGCTCCAAAAGGAGAGCAACAGAGCCCAAAACAAACAAACAAACAAACAAAAACAAAAATCAAAAACCTGCGCCCTGGGAGCTCTGCAAACAATGCTTGGAGAGGACCCAAAACCCCGGCTCAGCTGTAGCCCATAGACTCAGTATCCAAGTGTGGTCCCTAGTAAGGGAAGCAGGGGCTTTCTCTGGCATGAACTCAGTGACAGTCTCTCTGATCACCTCCCATGGAGGGTGCAGCCTTGCCAGGCCACAGAGGAAGACAATGCAAGCAGTCCTATTGAGACCTGATAGGTGAGGGTCAGATAGAATAGCCTTGGGACAAGTGGTTATTGTTTGTTTGTACTGTGCAATCACAAGTCTCTTTCTTACGTTAGTTATTCTTAGTTCCTGTTTACATGATCTATACTTACTTATTAGGACTTGGTTTTCTTATTCCAATTTTGAGTGTAAAGCTAACTTGATAACTGCAGCATGTACTCACACCCACACTGTGTTGTAAGCAGTTCAGGGCTAGGATCCAAACATGCAGCACCTTTGGGAAACACCAGACTAACTGTCAGTGGAGAATATGCCACCAAATTGAAAACTGCCTTCAAATTAGGAAAGCAGTATGACAAGGAATTAATGCTATTTATACTTTGATAAATTAAAAAATAATCTGTGACTAGAATATACTTAATGGTAATATAACTGTCTTTTAAATAGTAAAGTTTTACCTTAAGGAGAGGCATACATGATTTAAGGACAGAAATGTCTGAATTTCCTGAGATGAAGTTGTTCCTGTGAGCTCCCTGTCTCCAAGCTGATACTAAATTAAGTGCTATACAATAGCCATGCAGTCTCAAGGTCATCTAATATGTGCTTGAGGTGGGTGTTACCATCTCCTTTGTATTTGTTTATCTATGAAGAAACTATACCACATCCCATTATTAAAAATGAGTTGTGGGCTATTGAGATGTCTCAGGGGTAGAGGTACTTAACCATACCTGACAAACTAAATTCTATCTCTCTGTTTTAACAGTGCAACAAAATCCCAGTAAAGAAGAGTATAATCATATTTACTAGGTGTGTGGTATATAGCAGTAGGGAGACCATTTTGTCCTCCTTAATCATGATGGATTAGATTTCCGTTTTAGCGGAATTCTTTGTGGGATTCTCTAGTAAAGCCTATAAGTAGTGGTGGAGCCAACAGAACTATGGAAACTATACACTTCACTCTAATCTCTTTCAAGACTGTGCTGTACTTTTCTTTGCTAAATAAACTTCTGTATACAAAAAAAAAAAAAAAAAAGAAGAGTATAATCATTGCAGTCAGAGGAAACATTTCTATGTAGGTTAGATGTAAGTGTAGAGAGAGTTTTTTGAACTGAAGAGCTATATGAAATAAAAATCACCCAGAATACAGTGTGCATAGAGACAAACAATAGATGAGGCCAGAGGTCAGTAGCTAGAGCGCATAATGAAAATGTCCACATTCCGTGCAATCCCACTAGGTAGGGCAGGAAATGGAACAGAGACTGTAGTTGCAAGTGTCATACGTGAACAAATGAAATATTCCATTTTATTGCTTTGCAAAGTTTAGAATATCCAATTTGAATAAAGAATTAGGGATTTATGTCCGCACATAATATATTTCAGCCATGAAATAGTAGAGAAAGAGAAAGGGAGTTTTTTATTTATTTATGCTCACATGCATGCAGTGCCCACAGATGCTGGAAAGGGGTATTAGATCCCTTGGATCTGGAATGAGAGGAGATTGTGAGCTTCCCCAGGTAGATCTTGGGAACTGGACGCTGGTCCTCTAGAAGAGCAGCACATTCAGCTGCTGAGCCATCACCACAGCCTGGGATGGTTTTTCTTTTTAATGAATAAGTTGTAATGCAGTAGGACACAACAGCAGGGAAATAAATGAATTGTATTAAAAAGTAAAAACCAATGATATGAATGAAATATCACCAAAGCGCGCATATGTATGTGTTAAGTACTTTTATATAGTACCCAAATGAGCAAAAAAATTATATTTATTATATATGATTGTACTATATGATAAAAATATGACAAAAAAACATAAAGAAAGGCAAAAGCAAGCTGCAATGATTGTAGGCTTTGCTGTAGAGAAAGGCTGTGCTGATTAGGATTTTTGTCAACCTCAAACATGGTAGAACACTGGGTTGTCTGAGAGGAGGGAACCTCAATTGAGAGGTTGCCTTTATAAGATTGGCTCTAGGGTACTTTCTTACTTAGTGATTGATGTGCGAGGACCTACACATTGTGGATGAAGCTGCCTCTGGGCTGGTGTTCCTGGGTGCTGTCAGAAAGCAGGATGAGCAAGCCGGGATGAGGGATGAGCAAGTCAGTAAATAGCACTTTTCCAATGTCTCTGCATCCACTCCCACCCCCAGGTTTCTTCCTAGAATCCCTGCCCTACTTCCTAAATAATGGACTATAAGCTGTAAGGTGAAAAAAAGGAAGACAATGCAAAAAAAGGAAGACAACGCCATTCCTCCCAAAATTGCGTTTTGCCATCATGTTTTGTCCCAGCAAAAGAATCCCTAACTAAGACAGGCACAGAGAGCCTTAAACGTCCTTTCAGCTTATTATTTAATTGCACTTCAACTGTAGTGTTTCATATTTGATTTGAAAACTTTAATTGACAAAATTAAATGTTTAATAGATTCATTGTTATAGTTTGATACCTATCTGCATAGACACATATGTGTCCACATACACAGTATGTGATGTTCATATTCTGCTGGCTAACTGTAATCTGACATAGTTTTTGGTAGTAAGCACACACAAAATTCATTCAGCAAATGGAGATAAGTTATAAATTATCATGTACTGTGGTAACCATGTTGTAAAATATTTCTCGGAAACTCCTCTTGATTAACATGTCCCCTGTGTTCGGCATCCTTGCACTACTAGCCTAGCCTTCAGCTAAGAAGTTTCCTTAACAAAGCATCAGTGGCTACCTGCTTTAC